ACACACACACACACACACACACACACACACACACACACACACACACACACGCGAACACAACCTTGTATTTCTCTCCTTATTAGGACCGTTCATTGACTTCCATTCATTTCTGGAGCCTAACCCTTAACCCAAAAACAGAGTTCTAACATATTAGAACCAGTCTTTGGTCCCCAAAAGCACAACTGGTTCTGACAAGGTTAGGTGTTTATACCAGAAACTGTCATAAAAAGGTAACATAAACCAGGTCACACACTCTCCTGTTTTAATCTCCCGACACGTTGCTCTTCCTGTACCCTGTTTTCTCACACATTTTTCGTGCGTGGGGGCGTTATATTTAAGGTTCGGCCCCTCCTGGTGGTCAGTACATTATCTTATCTCAATTTGATCACGCTAAAGACGGCACACACATGCAAATGGCTTCAACTCTGCATCCATCCACCAAGAAATAAGCTAGTTTGTTGGATTTTTTTTCCTTTAAGTGCAACAAAATAGACTTACATGAGGTTATAATAAATACTGTGGATATTTTGTGTTTTATCTTTGTACGTATTTTCATATAGAGAGGGTTAATCTGTGAGGAGGCAGCAGGAGGTGAGCGGCGTTTACTCCGGTAATGTTGCTGATCCGTTTAACTTTTGAAAACACACCCTTAACACCCCGTTAATTTATCATGCAGTATAAATAAGACGTCACCTCAAAATTACAGAAAAGAATTCGTCCGATTGCCCACAGACAGAAACAATGACAGCTTTACCCCTCTTTTATCACATCTTGTCCCACAATTTTATACCCATTTAGAAAAACCAAAGAAAATATATTTTAAAGGGGGTGTAAACTAGTCATAAAAGGTGGGAATGCTGTGATTTGTTTTCTGTGTGTGCAGTGCTGCAGGGAATGAAGAGAGTTGCTTTTCGTGGTGTAGGGGACGGTAGTGGGGGCGTGGGGGGGGGGGGCAACCTAGATGTCGCTGTTGATCCTCAGCTTGAACGACACCCTCCCGGCAAACTTGTCTCTTTCATTTCCGGCTGGAAAGCCGGTGGCGTGGACCTTGCACTCGATGTTGACGTCTTCGTTTACGGTGATGTTTAGGAACTTGACAGCGACCAAAGGCTGAGAGTAGTTCACCTGCAGGAACAAAGGACCAACTTTAAATCAAAGAATCCAAAACAACAATCAGTAATGGACCATTTCTCATTAGTGCCGATGTCGGCACTTTTTTTGAAGTCTCACCTGAGCTTTCTTGCCATAGTAAGGGTAGTACATCAGATTAAATGTGCCGTTTGGAGGGAAGTAAACCATCTCTCCAATTTTATCCGAGTCGTCTTTCTGAGGAGAAAACAGCTTCTTCAGTGATAACGCTCTTCTTTTATCTGAGCTATATTTGCTAACCCACAGTCTACTTATGGTTAATACAAAAAWACTTCCTGAAACTACACGTATGTACAACATAACAACATTCTGAACCACTTCTAACCTTAAATGTCCACTAAACTCTAAGAAATACAAGAGCCGTCCTGCTCTTACCCATTGATCTTTGCCAACTTTGTATTTCTGAGGTAAAAAAAATGATAGGAAATGATGGAGAAAAGACACAGTTTGTGTGTAGAGTAGAATGGATCGCAAATGGTTGAAACACAAACACAAAAGGAATGAAAAACCTTACCTTTTCTGTGGAAAAAGGTTTTGAACAGTAAATATCTTACCTGTTGTAGATAACTCTTTGAACAACCTGAGTTTAGAGTCTGAGTGAAGCCATGAACAAAGTGGACTGACGACATCTTAAAACTGTTCAAACTTCTAAAAAAATGTACATCTCCTACTCACATAGCAGAATGTGTCTGGCTCAGTTCTGGCCCACACAATACACTGACACTAATCACTGTACATGTTTAAAAGAATTATAAAGGCTAGATTGATAAAAAAATGAAACAATATAATCTGTATCCATATAACGTGTTGTTCTAGAAAGATTTGATGTTTTTGTTTTGTTTTGTTAACTGAAGATCATTATTGTTTGAAGTTTTACTTGAGGAAAAAGGGGCAGATGTAATAAGATTTTTTCGTCTCTTTGCCACCATTCATTTCATTTTATTTGTATTTTCTTTTTTATTATACATAGAGTTACTTTTGTTTTTTTTTTTAAAGAAAAGAATAAAGTTTGAAATAAAAAAAATAAAATAAAAACATTCGGTCCACATACCGCAAAGAATGACAGCCCTTTGGTGGCCAAGATGTGGTTTGCCAGAGGTGGTCCGTGCATGGGCCAGCACCATATAAACCAAACCACAACTGGCCCGGTTGTGGCATGGCATCTTAAAAACTGTGCCATCATTGCCAGACCTGGCCCACACCTGTCTGCTATGTGCAGACATGGATATATACTGTATTTTAGAGGGGCCACTATACTGCATATTTTGATGCTTTTCCTGCTCCAACACACCTGATTCAGAGATTGAATCACCTCTTCAAGTTCTGCAGAAGTCTGTTAATCWTCCATTATTTCAAACCTGGTGAGTTGGAGGACATAAACCTCCAAATCAGGATATCATGATCTTAGTGTGCTTTGATTGGTGGAGAAAGATCTTCATTTAGTGTTAGTGGACTTGACATTACTGGAACTGAATTTAGAGGAAGTAAAGCTGAAGAGGTTAGCTCTGCTTTTAGCTGTTAGCTGATTGGCCCACCACTGGCAGCAGCTATACCTGCCTTCTGATGCAGCCTGGGCACTTCCGTTGGGAATTTTATATTTTCATCAGGATAAACATGTAATTCGACACCGGCAGCTTTGTAAATGTTTGATGTTTACACAGCAGGTACACAACGCAGGACCCAGAACAAAAGCAGCCTCAATTTTGTTTTGGGCCTGATGGGACTAGCTCCTGAGTCTGGGCAAGATTAAACTGTTTCTCCAAACTAAAGTTGCTCAAAGACGCATCTGCAACAGGTAAGATGATAACTGTTCACAACTTTTCCACGAAAGCGTACCCCAAAACTAACAGAACTATCTCTTTAAGGGGAAATGGAGGAGAACAATAGGTGGAACATTGTAGTTGATGGAGGTACAATAGCTAGCTGACTGGTAGCAGGCCAAGCTGTCAAAGTGAGTGTTCTTTGTGAAGGACACAAAGAGATTACCTTCGCTCCGCAGGTGATAAATGGAGCCTGTCCAGGTTTTCCTGGCGTTAACCCAATCACCTGGTGAAGAAGAAAAAACGTTCACTTAAAAAAAAAAAGCAAAACAAAAATCTTTTACACCGCCACTGTGTTTACCAGATGAACGCGATAATCTGCAGCTGTACACTTAAAGGGGCAATATCATGTAAAATCTACTTTTTTTTAGTTTTATATCATGTTMTAATGTTATACTCTCATAAAAAACATGCCTAAAGCCTTGCTTTGACTCCTTCATGCATGTTTGAGAAATCCTGCAGTGTTTTTAGGAAGCCATGCTGAGGAGCAAAACGACAGGTGGGGACCAGAAACACCTCTGGGTTATGTCTTTAAGCCAAACTTCCTCATGGCAGAGCACCCCCCCCCCCCACACACACACACACTCACACACATATCC